CTGTCACAGCCAAAAAATACACTCCAGACACGCCGCTGGCACTAGAGGCACAGCATGGCCGCCTAGTAACGGCCCCGACCACTGCCGCTCGACCTGACCGGAAAAAACCGTAGCAGGAAGCTAGCGAAGTCGTAGTATATATATATATATCATATTATATATATATGGTCACATATATCACACACACACACACACACACACACACACTCACACACATACACACACACTGCGCGTGAGAGATCATGAACGATATGAGAATCTGCTCTTGTTCTTCCTGTGCTGCTCGTTGCGCCTGTTCATGTGGGTGTGCGATGTTCGTATGTTCGGCCTTTTGGACAACCGTGTGTGAGTACATTGTGTGCTTTTACTGCACGCCATTATCTTCAAGACGCTTTCAGTCCCTTCTGCAGCCACACTTGGTACTGAGCTCACTGATCCGAACTGAGTGAAAGGTCATCTTGGTTTTCTTTCCTGTGAACCCTGGCTGGAACACCAGTAACGTGACAAAGCACTCTCCCATCCACTGAACCTCTATTTCCAACCTTTCCTCGCCATCCATTATCTCTAGCATACCAGCACAGATAGGACCGATGAACTCTCTCCGAAAATCGTAGTCAAGGCTTTTTACCCATCACCATTCCCCTCACAAGTTGTAGGTAGCAGGGACCTTCTTTTCCCTAACACAACCTACCTATCATCACGAATATATGCAAGCCAGGTCATCATGCTGAGGGGTTGTGTTCGGGGGAAAAAGCTACCAAGCAGCTGAAAGTCGTTTCCGAGGTTGTGTGAGGGGGGCGCATGACCCATTGCACTATTTCTCCTTATCTACTCGAACTTTACTAGGTGAAACAGGTAGAACATCCCCGCCTGAAAAGTTCCGGAAACCTATTGGGCTTTTTACCCCTAAGCCTCTGGGCTGGGCAGTGGGTACTATGCCCAAAGTCTTCCAGGTAGTTATTTGTAGTTACTACCCACCCGTACGCCTTGGCAATGGGCCTCTCGGATCATGCATCTGGTCAGGGGGAGTGATTTCGTTCATTTTTTGTCTGTACCATCTAATGATCAGGTGGCCTTGTTTCAGCCCACTCTTTGGGCCTTTTTCTACCTGAAGTCCACAACCCTGGGCCCTTTTATTTAGGGTGGGTGTGTTCTACCTGTTTTCCTGTGTACGGAAGGGTGCCTGTTTTCTTAAGCGGGGGTGCCTTTGATTTTGGGTGGGTGCGCTCCGCTGCAGGCACTGTGACCGTGGTCATGGGAGCCGAAATCCATGAACGGCCATTCACGGGATTTCCGGCCAAGTGGAGGCCGGAACTGTTGGGATCATAGCAGGAGGGAGGTTGCGCTACGCCCCCTTGATTTTAAATTTGAAAAAAAAAAAACATGCACGGGGTTGTGTATGGTTATAATAAGAAAATGTTTGGGGGGTGGCGGCAGGGGAGGGGGGGGGAGTTGGCGCAGAGCCCTGGTGACCCACGTATATAGGGGTGTCGGTCACACCCCACATAGCACCTACGCGGCCCCCAGGGCCGCGGATCCTGCGGCCTAGGAGGCTGCCGAGGAGGCCCCGCGGATCCTGCGGCCTAGGAGGCTGCCGAGGAGGCCGACCGCTGGCCCACGGCCGAGGCCGCGCGGCCGTCGCACGTCCGCCTCTATGGCCCTGTCAAAAAGAACTTAAGAAAAAATAAAAATTTGAGGGAGTGTTTTTTGGTGTGTGAGAAAAAAAAATAAAAATAAAAAATAAAAAAAATTGATTGATTGATAGTTTTTTTTATTGATTGATTGATTGATTGATTGATTGGTTGATTGAATCAGATTGATTGATTGATTGATTGATTGGTTGGTTGGGGAGGGGTCCTCCCTCCCCTCCCCCCGGCACATGCACACTGTGACACACACACACACAAACACTCACACACACACTCAGTGAAACGCACACACACACACACACACACACACACACACACACACACACACACACACACACACACACACACACACACACACAC